AGGCATGGAGGGCAACCGTGGATGCCAGGGACAATGGGGGAGGAGGATGGGACATAGCAGAGGGTGGGGGATGGGGAATCAAGGATGGCAAAACAAAAGGCAAGGTATGCAGGACATAAGAATTGGGAAATTATTTGCTGAGAACATGTATGTTGATGTGCTTGATTGAGCCAATGCACAGGGTATTTTGGATGGAAAATTCATTTGTGTGTTGTGATGGTGTATAGTGAATTAATGTAGAAAATGAATAAATTTTTAAAAATTAATAAAAAAATAATAATAAAAAGGCTGATGATGATTAAAAAAAAAAGCAGCAGTCACAGGAAAACAAGAGGTATTAAAAATAACAACAAAAAACAAGCCAGTATTACAGAAGTCAACATAAAAGTTAGACCAAAAAAAAAAAAGTCAAGCAATTCTCCTCAGACACAGAACAAAAGCAGAGAGAGATGAATAAGATGAGGGGAAGTTAAGAGCTCCTGGCGGTGGATCCAGGAGGCTTAATATTAATCTAATAGGAACCCTGGGGGGGGCGAGGGAGGGGGAGAGAGAAAAGACAGACTAGAGGTAATAAGTAAATAGCAATTCTTTTTTCCTGAAGATGAAGACACACAAGATTTCTTAATAACAGGGCCTATCTATCACCAAGCGGGGCGTTAAATGCCACCACACACCTTAGACTCTCAAACCCGGTTCCCGTAGTTCCCTTTCAGCTAGGAGGCGTCCTTGGTTTTGATTTTTCTCCTGCGCAGTGAAGACCCCAAACCTGACCACACCTTCCATCCTCCGCTGTGGTGTGTTCCAAACCATCACTGCTTGCTTGACTTTGGACAGTCGCTTCCTGCCTCGGTGTGTACTCCTGACCCCCTATAATCCCATTTTGCATATAGAAGCCACAGTGGCCTAGAAGATATAGATCAGATCGTTTCGTCTCTAACTTGCCTAGCGTAAGATCCGAACTCCTTGCCAGCTCTGAGGGCCTCCTTCCTGCCTCTCTCAGAACCCCGCCTGCCCCTCCCTTCAGTCTGCTCTCCACTCTCCAGTTCTTTCTGTCTCTGAGCATTCTGAGCTGCTCCCAGCTTGGTCCTTTGGGGTTACGCTCCCCTCGTCCTAATGCTCTCCCCCAGATCTGCACACAGCTCCTTCTTACTCCTCACGGCTCTGCTAAGTGTCACTGCTCAGAGAGGCCAGCCCCGATCCCCTCATGAGAGGCGCCTCGTCTTAGACGGACGCACTGCTATCTCATTCCTCCATTGTGTCTCCCTCTTGGTGCTTCTCAGTCTCTAAAGGGATCGCGTACTTTACTGCTATTTCCCACACCCGCGTGGAACACCCGTGAGAACAGGGATCTGCCTGCTCTAGTTCCACCTCCAGGATTCCTGGCAACCCGTATCTAAGATAAACCATGGTTGAGTGCATTCCTAGTCCTGAATACAGCATCGCAGCATTTCATAACAACAACGAAGAATGAATCTAAGAAGTTCCCAGGAAAATGAAATAGGTAAACTGCACACTGTTTCAAGTCCCTCCTCCACCGCCTCCTCCTGGGTCCTATTTTCTTTTTCTTTTTTATTTTGCCGAGTACATTCTCTAAGAGAATGTTTATGTACTAGAAGCCAGGTTTTCTGACTCTCCATGCTTCAGAACTCTAGACTTTATTGTAGCGGTTAGTTAAAAGTTTGGCTGAGTATCGAATTTGAGGCTCAGAACCATGTTTTTCTAGTAACCCTAAAATATGACGCTATTGTCTAGAGCCAATATTACTTAAGAGAATCTAGATAACTTTCCGATCTTATTCCTCTGCAGTTCACCTATTTCAAGGTCCTGGTCGTCATCTCTCCCACCACCACACTGCCCCCTTGAGTACTTCCGACGGACATTCACGCTCACTGACCCATGAAGCCTGGGCCTGCTCGAATCCATCCCAGGGGGTCACCGTTAAACCTGCATGAGTCCGATCCGGCCCCTCTTGCATTGGAACCATTTGTCTATTTCAAAGTCTTCTAAAATTTGAGATCGATTTTGATTTGGGAAAAGCAGTAATTAGGCTGCAGTGTTTAGCATCTTCTCAAAAAGATCACAAAACCTCACTGATCCGGCAAATAAAAACATGGATTGAAAACCTGATGCCAGGGATCAGCAGATGGTGTAATGGTTACGTCTCTGGACTCCCATGTAGTCGATTGCAGTTTGAGTCCTAGACTGGAGGCTTAAACTTGCACCGGGCACGTGTGCATGCGTGCCCAAAACCCCAAGAGGAGAATGGAGAAGGGATTGTGGCATGGCCATCTTTCTTAGGGGGGAGGGTGATTTCCTGCTTTCTTTCTCTGTCTCTCTGACAAGTGCACATGCTCTATAGCAAGACAAAACAAAAAAATTTGGTGCATAATTATCTTTCAAAAGTGAAAGAGAAACAAAGCCTTTCTCAAACGAAAATGGGGGTGGGTTTGTGGCCAGGAGAGCTGTCGGAAAGCTGCCTCTGCCGCAGTCCCAGCCTCTTGGCTTTTTTTGTGCCGACTCTGCGGTGCACTAGGCTACAGCACTAACTGAGAAGCATTAAGAGGGCAGCCGTGGGCACTGGCTTGCTTTACGGCGTTGCTTAAAGTAGTAGAGACCTTATTAAAAGTCAAATAACGTGAAGCCAGAAAGCAACTTCTTTTGACAAAACTGTTCAACAAGTAATTGGCTATCATTTTTTTTCATGATAGGATGTGTGTGCATGCATGAGAGAGAGAGAGAAGAGCACCCTTCTCGGGGTCTGGCGATGCCACGATCTCCTCTCTCCAGTTCTCCAGCCCGTTGGTTCCTGGGCACTCACACACGTGCCCGGAGGTTTCAGACTGACCGGGCTGGGGATTTGAACTGTTGCCATGTGGGATCTGGCTTCTCTTGGGTGGGTGCAGTACCCGTTGTTCCACAAAGCCAGCTCTGGATACTCTAAAGAGTAAAACATTTTGAATTAGAAATTTTTAAAGTTTCATTAAAAACATATACTGCTATTGGAGAAATATCATAAAACATCTTTTTAATGTGAACACTACTTCATACAATGAAAAACTATTTACAACGTGTTGCTTCTAGGTCGTCTGCTTTTACATCGACCGCCCCCGGGTGCTGACACACGCGTGTCTTCAGCCGGGAGCTTCAGTCCAATTGCACGTCCGCCTTGCCCTCGAAGGCTCTCCGAGGTCCCTGAGGGTCCAGGCCCCCCCGCCCACTTACATTCTCCTTACTCGGTGTGGTTCCGCGGGCATGCCGCCAAGCCGTCTAGAACCCAGAGACTCTGGCGGCCACACCGAAGTAAAACGCGTAGATGAGGTTCTCTCTCCAATAAATACTGACTTGACGATCCAGCCCATTTCCTTGCCAAGACATCGTTTTCATTTAGGGGCACGTCTGCTCTCAATGGAACTGGAGCGAGTAATGTCCTTCACACTGGGCCTGCGTGAGGGTGTCTCTGTATACAAATATAGCATATTTTTGCCAGGAATATAGTTTCTGGTTAAAGAGTTTATTTGCCTTGACACACAGGATTGCTACATACATTCACAGTTTTAATAGACCATAATTAGCTATTCCAGTTGTGCTTTAAGATCCCCAATGTTACTCTCATTAGCGAGTGCAAAGACAATGCCTCATTGGACTCCGGCTGGCCCTAGCGCATGAACTCCACGGCGGACTGGCGGAGCGCTCGCTCACTCCCCGGTCTCATCGCTCGCTTTTTCAGGGATGACTTCCAGGCTCCGGCGTGGCTTCTGCACGTCGGCATTTTCGGTGCCTGGTTTATTCAGTCCACAGGAAACAGCAGCATAATGGATTTGCTTCAGGTTCTCCAAAGTCTCGTTCTTAGCATATTTCAGAAGGTCCGCCTGTCCCTGTACAAAGGCATGCAATGAACAGTGTTAGCGCTGGCGTGGCTCACTGTCACACCTCCCGGTGTAGACCTGCTGCTGAGGTAGAAGGGTTTTCATTCGGCAAGAGGACACGGCTTTCCCTTATTGGTGCTGCACCCGAATGGGCCAATGTAATAAAAAGTGGTTCTGCTTCTCGGTGTCAATACTGCATTGTACAGTACGGTATGCAGCCCCTTTCCGTTTATAAACATGAACAGAGTTCTCTGCACGGACTGTTCTTGTCTACCCTGCCTAAAAGCACTTATTTCAGTAGCTGTGGGGTCAAGCTTGGTGTTTTTCTGTTTGTAATTTTTTTAATTGCCAGAGGGCACCTAGGATCACCGGAGAGAGAGAGAGAGAGAGAGAGGGAGAAAGCACCTCCCTCCCAGTGCAGTGGGGTTTGATCCATGCTGGACGCCCATGTGGCCGACCGCGGTTCAAGTCCTGGACCTGGCTGCTTCACGATCATGCTGGGAACATGTGCGTGTGTGCACCCATGATCCCGGGAGGAGAATGGAGAAGGGATTGAGGCATGGCCATCCCCCAAATCTCCCTCAGTGGCCAAACCTTACCGTTCCAAATGTTATTTTCTAAATCAATATGTTAACGTTTAGGTTCTCAGCAAAAGTGGAGAGTGCAGAGTTCTCTGCGTGCGCCCCTGGCCCCACACGCGTGGCCTTCTCCAGGACCGCGGTCCGCACCATGGGGCACATTCATTATCACCATGAACACGTCGGACGTCGGAACGGTCACGGTGTATTCCCTATAGAAAAATGTATCATGATTGTTCCAACAGCCCAATACACTGGCACTGCTTGAGGCAGGGTCACATTTATTCATTTATTTTAGGTTTTGCTGTAGGGTGCGTGCACTCACTGGAGAGAAAGAGACAGAGAGACAGAAAGCAAGAACCCACCTCCCCCCCCGAGGGGGTGGCCATGCCACAACCCTTCTCCATTTCCCTATTCTCCTCTTGGGATCGTGGGCATGCATGCACGCGAGCCTGGCGTGAGTCTCGAGCCTCTGGGTCTGGCACTTGAATGGTGGTGGGCATGTGGAAGTCCAGTGCCTTAGCCACTACCCCACTTGATGACCCCAAAATAGGGTCGGGACCCAGGTGCTGTACATTCGATGGCTTTGGACATGAACCTGTCGTTACAGTATCGGCAGCGTATCTTCCCTGCCCTGAAATCCCGTGTTCTCTCTCTCGTCGCCCCTCCTCACCTCCAGCCTCGGAGGCCCCTGATCTTTGCGCTGTATCCACAGCTCTGCTCCTGCCAGATTGTCGCAGTTAGACTCATACAGCATGTAGGTTTTTGACTGGCTTCTTTAACCCAGTAATAGGAATGGATGTTTAAAAGTTTGTGGAAAAATGCAATTAAAGTACATGTTTATTTTGGTGCACAGTTTTTGAGATCCATGCAGTTTTTTTTTCATAATACACGTTTTCTATAAACTTTTTGAAGGACACCCCCCCCACACATATATACCTAAGGTTACTCCATGCCTTTTCACGGCTCAAGAGCTCATTCTTTTTGAGATTGAATAACAACCCACTGCCTGGACGCACAATTTATTTCTCTATTCACCTACCAAAAACTTCTCTGTTGCTTCCAAATTTTGGCAATAATGAATAAAGCTGGTATAGACATCCATATATAGACTTTTTTTTAAAGAGGGAATTTTCCTATAGGGTATGTGTGCTTGCCAGAGAGATAGAAAGTGAGAAATCATTCCGGGAAGGATGGCCATGCCACAATCCCACCTCCATTCTCCTCTTGGGATTTTGGGCACATGCGCACATATGCCTGGTGTGAGTTTCAAGCTGCTGGGTCCAGGACTCAAACTGTGGTTAGCCACATGGCAGTCCAGTGCTGTACCCACTACACCACCTGCTGGCCCCCATATATAGGTTTTTGAGACTAGTACCAAGGAGAATGAGTGCTAGGTCAGATGGTAAGAGTAGCCTTAGTATTATACAAATTGCCAAACTGCCTTTCAAAGTGGCTGTACAATTTGCATTCCACCAGCAGCGAAGGAGAGTTCCTGTTGCTCCACATCCTTGCCAGCACTTGGTGGTGTCAGTGTTCTAGTTGTTGGCTTCTCTAACAGAGCCCAATAGCAGTATTTCATTGTTATTTTAATTTGCAACTCTTAATGATCTATGATTTTTAACATCTTTTCATATGTTTACTTGCCATCTGTGACTCTTCTTTGGGTAGGTGCCAGGTCAGGCATCTGCCCTTCTTTAAGCCAGGCTGTTTGTTTCCTTACTGCTGAGTTTTAACAATTTTTTGTATATTTAAAAAAGCAATCCAGTTCTCATACAAGGAGTCCTAGCTACTGCAATAAGACAAGAAAAAAATATAAAATATATATCAACTGAAAAGAAAGAAAAGAAAAAAAACTACCCCAGAATGCACCTCCTTCAGGTCTGGACTCAAAGCTCTCTACACAGTGGTACCCTCCCTGGCAACATGATCTAAAATTAGAACTCTTGCTTCTTGCCCACAGTTCTCCTTACCCCTCTTCTGCCTTGCTTTTTCTAGAACGTTTACTACCACCTGACATACTCTATTGCTTTGCTAACTGTCTGTGCCTCCCATCGCCTGTGAACCCCATGACTGCAGGAGTTTTTGTCTCCTAATCACTGCTGAATCCTCAGGGCCTAGAACAGTGCCAAGCACATGTAGAGGTATTAGTAAGTACCTGCTGAGTGAACCTAATTCAAAGCAAATGTGAAAGTCTCCCATTTCATCCTCACAGCTGCCCTCTGAATAATGTGTTTTATCTTTTTCTCTGTGTTCACTTATATATATAAAAAAAATCAAAATTGTAATCTACAAGGTTCCTTTTCTCACATCGATAGTCACATCTTGGTGGCCTTTCCATGTCAGCACATGCAGCTCTGCCACATGATGACCAAGCATTTAAAAACAAAAAGCTCCAGATGTTAAGGGTCAACAGTGAGCGTTCTTCATCTGGCGGAGTCTTAGGTTTTCCCAAGCCCAGGTAAGTCATTATGGCTTTTAGGACAGAGCAGGCCACGGTCATTATCCAGGACACGAAGGACACCCGCTGGCAGTAACACTGGGCTTAGGAGCTGCTGCACTTTGCTCGTGTCTTTTTAATGTTGTTCTATGTGTCTAATCTTTTCTTTCTTTCTTTTTTATTTTTTTAATCACCAGAGGGTGTGTGTGCTTGGCAGAAAGAGAGGGCGTGCGCTCTGCAATGGCGCTTGGCCACGCCGCAACCCACGTCTTCATTGCTCCATGCTGTCAGGACCCTGAGCACACACGCACATGTGTCTAGCATGTTCAAGTCATTGCAGCTGGGATCTGAGCCATGGTGGACGGTGTGGGATTCCGCTCTCTATGCACAGTGCTTACCCGCTGCGCTACGGGGCTGGCTGTGTTCCACGTGTCTAAGACTCCACACGTGACGTGTCCTGGAGTCAGGACATCTAGTGTGAATGAGGGACGATTCTGAAAGAGGGGGTGATGTGCACTGGGACTGTCTTCGCACCCCATCGCTTCGGAAGTCTTCAAAAGAGCAAAGGCTATTTAAAACGTGCTGCCCACTAAGCAAGGGCGTCTGATTCTGACAACTCCTTCCACGAAGCTGGCTTAGCAACGCTTTCAGCTGAAAAATTCCGATCTCATTCGGTCTCACACATTCCGTTGTGCATTTCATAACGTATTCTACTTGGTTTTTATCTGGAGAGAGTTACAACAGCTGCAGGCCCAAGTCTTCACTGTGCTTAGGCCCAGGAAGTCATCTTGAGAGCAGGAACTAAGGGCAGTGGCCCATCCTGGGAGCTCTGAGTCGGGCGTGACCGTGCCTCTGGCTCTGCCTGTGGCTCACCTGGGGTGGGGACAAGGCTCAGGGAGCCGGGAGAGGAGCGAGGACAGAAGCCACATGCCAGAGCCAGCGCCCTGGCTGCACTCAACTTGTGGCTAAACAGCAACTTTCTGTACGCTCACGAAAGACGCTTATATTTTTCATACATTAAAAACACTTGGGGGGCTGGCAGGTGCCGTGGTGGTTAAAGACGGTGGGCTCCCACGTGGCTGAGTGCAGTTCGAGTCTCAGACCCGAGAGCTTGCTTTCTCTTTCTCCCACTCTGTGTCCCTCTCTGGTCACATTAAAAATAAATAAAGTTAAAATAAATAAATAAATAAATAAAGTTGAATAAAATAATTCTTTTAAAAAACTGAGGGGCCAGCAGGTAGCATGCTGCTCCACGGAATGACCTGACTGCCTGAGGCCGAGGAGGAAGGGCAGACACGCTAGCCCAGCAGGGGGACAGACCAGCACCCTGCGGGAACCTAGCACCGGGCCCCAGGTCAGCCTGCTCGGCATCTGGACTTGCCGGAGTCTCATTTCTGCAACCAAACTGCTGTGCCTTATCCTCCCCATCTCCCTGTGAGTCCTGAGAGACCCCGGGTACCCCACTGTCTCTCGGAAAGCACAGCATGTGGGTCTGGAGTTTCTCTGCTTCTCTCCCTGGAGTGTCTTCTGCAACCAAAGCCAGAGAACTGAATCTGTAAATCCCTGACACAAATCCGATGACCAGGAGATCAAAGCCACGCCGACAGGAAGTTACTGCGAAAGGTAGCTGTCGCAAACATGGTGCCTTCCGTAAGTATTTTGTGGTTAGCCACTGTCTAGGGGGATGGAAGATTCACACAGAAATTGAATACGTTTAGTCCAGAATCTCGTAAGGACAGAGAGTCACGGGCCAAATGCACCAACCACCTTCCAGAGGGGACACAGCTATGGAGACGGTGAGCAGGTCAGAGGTCACCAGGGTTGGGGAGGGAGGGATTGACAGGAGAGCCCCGGGGGTTTAGGGCACTGATACTGCTTTGCATGCTCTGAAAATGACGGGTCCGATCCAAACATCAAGGGACACCTTAAATATGCACAATAAAAAATGCACTCAAGGGCGCCAGCAGATGGCGTAGTGTTTGCATTGCTGGACTCTCGCATGGCTGACCACAGTTTGAGTCCCAGACCAGTGGCTTGAAATTCATGCCAGGTGCATGGGCGTGCATGCCCAAGACCCCAGGAGAAGGGGGCGAGGGAGTGAGAGGTGGTCATCCTCCTGGGGGTGACTTTTCACTTTCCCTCTCACTGGCTCTCTGTCTCTCAGGGAGTGCATGCGCTCTGAGATAAACCTCTAAAAAAATACATTTAAAGATGACAGCTCCATGTCATTACACATTTGAATGAACTCACAGAATGAACTCACTGGTGACCCCTTATAAGCCAGAGAACTGGGGAGATAATTGCTCCTCAATTGCAATTTGATGTTTCTTTCCCAAACCTGGAGGGCGGGTGCCCAGGCAGCGGGGGCGGGGTGGGGTGGCACTGCCTTCTACACGGACGGACATGCCGAGGACCCCAGGGAGGGATGCCACGGAGCCTGCCTGTGGCTCAGTGACGTGGACTCTCCACTGCAGAACCTTCTGGGTTCCGACCCTGACTGCATCTCTCTGTGACAGACCTGGCCCCGGAAAAGGTCCAGGGCCACCTTGCAGTGGGAGAAGGGCCGTGCCCGGGACACTGCTGGTCACTGCGGTGGCAGAGGGAGAGGACGGGGAAAGTGAGTGGACTCTGAGAGGTGAGCAGCCAGGACCCTTCATACCCAGGGGCAGCGGAGGCCCGAGAGCACTAGGAGAGAGACACGCAGGGCACCCCCTTCGCACTCGGAATCTCTGTGGTTTGTTTTTGATTTTGCCATACAGTGCATGCAGAGACAGAGAGACGGAAAGTGAGAAACCGCACCCCACAATCCCTTCTCCTCCATTCTCCTCTGAGGATTTTGGGCACTTGTGCACGCGCGCCCAGTGTGGGTCTGGGACTCAGACCGCAGTTGGCCACCCGGGAGTCCAGTGCCTTAGTCGCCAGGCCACCTGCCAGCCCCTGCACTAGAAGCCTTTTAAGCACACCTTTTGCATGATCAAACATAAGCTGAGTCGTGAATTTCACGCAGGTTGCACCCAATGTCTTGAGGTTTTACTGTTTCCAGCAGATCAGAAAGGACAGCCGCTGATGACAACATTGCCCTAGTCTGGTTTTCTGAGCCGTTTACACTAAACAGAGAAATGGCTTGCAGCCAGACTGGCTTTTCAGGAAAGCTGGCTACAGAACGCATCACCTGTAGTAAATCAAGCAACGAAAGGGAGGGACCTCAACCGAGGGAACGAGCCGTACCCAGACCGCTGGGATCATTTCTGGAAAGGAAACAAATGCCAGTCTTCAAGTCTCCAGGGTCAGCCCTGAACCTCAGGTAGCCATGAAGAGAGGCCAGCTGGCTGAGCAGGTGCAGAAATGGCCCGGCTTACCGAGGTTCCTGCGGCCCGAGGGTGATGTTTCTAAAGGGAACAACTCTCTCTGCTTTCGGGGGTGAGTGCATAGTCTTGCTTCAGGACAGCGCGGCTGGGTGGGGGCAGCTGGCTTGGCAGCTGTTTATCTGCAAAGCGTCTTAGACGGTCCTTTCCAAGTCTGAGCCAGGTCTGAGCGGCCCAGCCAGGCCAGGCCCCCGCCGTGGGCTGCCAGTCATGTGGGTGAGGCTGGCTCGGTGTCCCAAGCCCAGCTGAGCTCCCAGAAGAATGGGGCCACCTAAGAGAAGCCAGCCAACAGCAGGAGGGGCAGAAAGCCCGCCTGGCTGAGTCTCACAATCATGGAAGTGCGAAGGGGCTGTGAGAGGAGCCACAGCTGACACCACCACTCGGTGGCTGTATTTTGTGCCATGTGACAACATCTTCCTGGACGCAGTGTTTTGAAATGGGTGGAAACTCTGACCCAAGGAGCTTATTTTAGGACTACTGATCTGGAGCTAAGGGGGCTGAACTAGGAAACACAGATCTTTCGAGCACCTGAAACCCAAGCCTAGGAGGACCAGCAGGGCCAGCAGGGCCAGGCCACGTTACAAAGCGGTAAACACTTGGAGTGAGCAGAGGGAGCCCGTGAGCAGGGGGCGAAGCGTGGTCGGTCCCAGGCCGCACATGAGTAGCAAAGATCATGGACAGACAAAAGTTTTGTCCCCAAGTCTACACCGGCCTATATTGAAATAAAAGCAAACCGCGTGTTTGTTGATGCCTAGGCTTCTGTGCTCATTTCCCTAAGGTCTGCAAGATCTGAACTGAACTGCCAGCTCTGATGGGGCATGGGCCAGTGAGCTGCAAAGTCAGTCCCTCCTCATTGTAAATTCTCAGGCCGGCTGGTTGCTG